AATATATATTTTTGAAAGCACTCTTACTTTACAGCATTTTTTCACACCTGCCTAAAACTTTGCACAATATTGTATATTCTCTTCTATTAGGACCATACACAAATATTATTAGCAATAGAAAAGGATGAGATCTGATAAACTTAAAAAGACACAATTTGACTTGCCTCATTAAAAAACAAGATGGAAATTGTGACCATGTTTCCAAAATATATTCAGCAAAGTGAAGCCATTGCACGTGTGCAGGTAGCTCTCGCTTAACCAGAAGTGTTGGAACTGCTAAGTGGCATGGTATCATGATATTGCGCTTTACAACCACGGGGCTTAGTTATGGAAATTCCAGTCCCAGTTGCCGTCATTAACCAAGGAGTACCTGTATGTGCATGCATGGACAACTGGGGAAAGGCTTTGAGGTATCTGTGCTAAGCCAGACGTTGCACCTTCTTTAACGCTTCAGTGAAAGATGCTTGGCTCACACCGCTGTACTTTTGAACACTCCTTTTTTAATGCTTTCCTCAGCCCTCTTGTTCACCTTTTAGCATTTACTATAAAAAATGTTATTTTTTAGATATGGAGCAGCACCAGTGAATCTCAATATTAAAACAGGAGGACGCTCTTACGGATCCTCTGGTAAGCATTTACTGTGAGCTCAAAGACAGAAAATAGGAAAAAATAATGTAGTGTAACAATACAGATCCTGTATTGTATTGTTACACCATAAGAGAAAGTTTAGATAAGCAATAACTGTCAGGCTCATGAGAGCCAGTATGTAGGAAATAAGCATTTTAATTTCTATGTAGAAACTCTTAATAATATGTTGCTGATTGTGGACTTATGAAATAAGTATTCTTTTTTTATAGGAGCAAAGGTGAAAGGAGTTGATCTGGATGCACCAGGAAGCATTAATGGTGTTCCACTATTAGAAGTTGATTTGGATTCCTTTGAGGATAAACCTTGGAGAAAACCAGGTAGAAAATTTTGCACGGAAATGTATATCATTATAAAAACTTGTCATTGAAACTCCACAGGTGAGCAGAAATTTGATTTTTTTTTTTTTTTACTGTACATGAAATGCATACATAATTCCTTTTTTAGGAGAAATTTAATGTTCACAGCATGTTGACACAATATTATTTGTAAAAAACTACTTCTAATAGGTAGACAAAATGAATATTACTGAGTTGGATTTGATGCATGAGAATATGTCATTGCATGTTTTACATTTTTAATTTTTTATTAGGAATGTTTTGATTTTTTAAGCTACTCTGGTTTATCTAACATAGGGGAAAGTGTCCTTCCCTTTGAAGCACAGCTAAGTAATAAAACACAGCTAAGTGGTTGTGGGAAGTAAACAAATGAGAGTGCTGTCAGAAGAGGGTCTTTCTTAGAATGGTTATTCAGCTGTTTTTCATTTTTGAAAACCAGTAGCTAGATAACATTGTGGAGGGAAGGATTCTTCCATATTTTTATAGTAGTTGCATTATTTTCTTTTAAGGTGCTGATCTCTCAGATTATTTCAATTATGGATTTAATGAAGACACTTGGAAAGCATACTGTGAAAAACAAAAGAGGATACGAATGGGACTTGAAATTTTGCCTGTTACCTCAACTACAAATAAAATTACGGTAATGAAAAGAATCTCTGGTTTCACAATTGTAGAAATGCTTTTCCTTCAAAAGTTAGATTCCACACACAGTGTTAGAAACCCTTGTGTGGTTCAAAAGTTCATTCCCTTCCTTCCTCCTTCCTGTCATCCAGCCATTTTGCTCCATTTCTTTGTTGGCTTTTGTGTTGATAATGTGGAACCACCAAGCTACAACTAGCTTGTAACCTGTTGTTAGTTGTGATGTAGCCCATCAGTCCATAATGTGGTGTTTTAATGGGCAATGTGTTATTTAACTTAGGCCGAAGACATTGCTATGGAAGTAACGCCAGGGACAGAGATTCCAGATGGCACATACAGTCTTTTTAAGGTGAATGTTGGTAAACTTTCCTTAGTCACTCTAATTACTGTTTGCCATACCACTTCCAAGTTTCAGTCTAAACACAAAAGTGGACATAGCTGTTTTTCCAAGTTTTTTTAAATATATTCTCCAGATGTGCTGCATGTAGAATCACTTATTTTATCTTTGTTGTTGCAAGCCTGTGATTTGATGGCCTAATGTACTAATGATTGCTGTGACCGTTATTTAATGTGTATGCTGCATTCTTTTAGTGAGATGTGTTGCTCCTTTACAAATTTCATATATCATTTTTGGTCTAGTATTTGAGAATATGCACATAGTCAGATTAATTTACGATCCCTGCTTTCTCTCTCTTGGCGGCCTGACTCAGAAATAAGGTTCAGGCAAAATTCTACTGGCTGAAGAAATTATCCCCCCTGTAAGAATGCGCATGAAACAGAAAATGTGTGTAGTTTTTAATCTGAAACAAAGCAAAAGCTACCATAACATTCTGAAAGTTTTGCCAAAATATTCGGGGGTGGGCAGGGGGCATAGTTTGGTAGAAACAAAAGCTGGAATGTTTCTTTTATTCTTTATTTCTGCTGAAACAAAATGCACAGGGATCCTGGAATGATTTTAGAGAGTGAGTAGGACAAGGCTGATGTGTGTCACACTCTCTCTTCTGCCTTCAAGCAGCTAACATTGCTGCATATCCCATTGTGCCCCCCCCCACTTTGCAATGTCTTATTTTTTCTCCCTCCCGTGTTCCCCTGAGCTGCTGCTATGTTTGCCTTTTCCTGCTCTTACCCTCCCTGCCTGAAATACTTCTTTCAGTAACAACTGCTTCAGCCCATATCCACACCAAAACAGCCCTGTTGTGCTCTATAGCTGAATCAACCACCTGTTTTATTTTAGACACAAACCACCTGAAACCAGCTGTTCCATGAACAGTTCATGTACAAATACTCTTCCACATCCCTACCTTCATAGATAGAGCATTGTTAGATGGTTAGAAATCAGGATCACAAACTTGATTAACAGCCATATATAGTCATCACCGACCTCTAATATGGCTGGAGGACTCTAGGGAGAGGGGAAGCATTTTGTTAGGTTCACTGGCGTTGTAAAGCAGCAAATTCTAGCTTTTTCTTGAGTGCTTCTAAGGCTTAAGCAATTCCAGACAGGATCTTGTTGTGGTAGCACTTGAATTGTCTGCTGTGTTAAGAACTGCTTCATGCCAGTGTAAGAAGTTACCAACTGGATATATGGTTACTGTTGACAACTATATTTGAGAATGCCTGAAAAATGCACATCAAGTGAATATATGGTCTCAACATGCTATGAAGAAATGGGTAGGTACTCAGAAACCAATGTACTTTTGAGAAAATTGTCTCAATTTTGCCTTGATGCTGATGTTGTAAAACATAAAAAGCACATATATGCTTATTTTTCCATGAAGAAAAACTTCAGTTGTTTTGTTTCATTTTTTAAAATGAAATATTTAAAATGACAGAAAAGGGACTTGGTAGATATTGTTTTACAGGGTGGATCTGGCTGACTGGATGCCAATTGACACTTCCTGTTTTGCAAAAAATTGTTCTTTTTTATTCTCCTGCCTGTAATAGGTTGGAGTATTTAGCCTTTTATTACTTAAAAATGAGAGATGTAAATACTATCGGTCATCTTAACATCTGTAGCCTTCTTGCCAAGGTTACATATTTTATGATCCCAGGGGAATATGTACAAAAATTTTGGGTGGGAAGCCAAGTTTTTCATTTTTACTCAGTGTGCAGTATTTGTTCAACATTTCATATTGAAGAATTGATTTAAGCTAAATCTAAACAAAGCTAATATGAAGATTTGAATTGGCTTCCTCTTGTTCCTTTGTTAACCCTGCTTTTTTTAAATTATACCTACGTACATCTTTTTTATTTGTACCTATGCACTATTACCTAAGAGTCTTCGGTCAAGGTTATCTCATAATTGAGGATTTGAACCTACATTTCCTACATTTAGCTCCAGATTTATCACTATCACAGGGTGTATGAGCAGAGATGTGGTTTTCTGTAATATTCTGTAATGCTGCAATGCCCACTCATGCTTTTAACCAATATAACCTGATGAGAAATATGAAACCCGTCAGTTGTTGCTATACAGAAGTAGAACTAATGCTCAGATATAATCTGTTGATCACATTATACTTTTTCAATTATAGGCATAGGATGAACAACTGGTGCTTTAAAGGACTGAAAAAGAACATTATTATAGATTCTAGTGTTTTTTTCTAAACATAAAGAGGTGTGAAACTCTTCCCCCAACTAGCATTACCACAGGACATCTTACCTGTCCTACCCAAAACAATCTCTTTTTAAAAAAAAACTCAGAAACTCTGCTTGTAGCAGTACAATGTCTGTGCTTTCCCCCCGCCCTCACCTGGGGAGCAATACATTTTTGTTTCCCCACACAAGTGACTAATGTCACTTAGTCAGTTGTATAGTTTTTAATTTGTCTCTTTATTAATGTATGTGTATATAGTTCAGTTTGCTTTGCAAGTGGAAGTTTTTTGTAAAAAAAAAAATTGTGAACCTTATCAGTCTGCAGGAAAATATTAGTCTACATTTT